CAGTGCCGACGAATCGCAGGATACGCAATACACTGTAATCCTCAAGAATGAAGATGAAAATTTCGAAGTACCATAAAGGTAGCCTCTTTATGAATTCACTGCAAATCCATATTAATAATTAAGGATTTTGAGGCGACCTGTATAGCCATTCTTACATCGAAGGGTTTTGCTCAGTCGACAGATTTTGGGCCCAGAAGATCACAGTGAATGTCGGTCAATATCGCACTTTAATAATGGGTTATATTAGTTCAACGGTGTGGCTCTGATCATCGCTTAGATGTCATCCGCTAGAGGTGCCATATTTTAAAGCCGACAACGGCTGTGAAGCAAATATACAGTGTAGTCGCCTATTTTTTTTATTTTTAAAGTATTATAGTCGCCTGTCAATCCCGGAAAGAAGACGGTCCAGTGTCCCTAATCATTGTTCGTAATCACGACCTCTTGATTCTCATTGAGACGCTCTTCCGAAGGAGTAACTCCCGTCTGAACTAATATGTGGAAAATTAATTGCTGCTCAACGGAATGTTTTTGGAATAATAATACGAAGGCAAGAAATGAACGCAGTTTGTTGCCACGTTTAAACGACGGTATTTGCGGTCATCAGTATCCTTGCAGATACAGTATTTATTTGCTGAAATTGTCGATCCGTCTTGAACTCTTTGATTTGGTACTACGTTCTACGTTCGGCTGTCAGTAACATCACTTCAGCTTCTCTACAGTATGCCATAAGGCAGCGAGTTCAGGTAAACATTGACCAATCAACTCAAATTTGTTTCATTCGAAAATCTGATTGCATGGAAATGAGTTGATATCAAAAAAAAATATTATCACAAACGGTTTTATTTCAAATGAAAAATTGACTATAATCGAGTTATCGAATACCGGTACATTTCTTTATAACAAAACATTACCCACAAAATTAATCGCCTCAAAAATAACGGCCTAGTCGGATTTGGAAAGCTACTAACAACAGAAAGCACTGAAAGAAATGCAAAATTAAACATATTATGAATGCAAATTAAATAAATATAGATATCGAAATTTAATGTAAGTAACACAGCAGCATGCCATCTATTAGCATGTTAATTTACACACATTCAAATAAGATCCGCGGGGAAGGTATCCACCTTTCTGCCATTCCAAACAGATTTGAACTGCTCAGGTATGTTAAATTCGTGCTAAACGAAGAGAATGTTAAAAAGAAGAATCGATGAAATACAAGCAATCCTTGTATCTTAG